GTGAAGATTGTGATATAATTACTGAAATACAAAGCATCAGAAATAAAAAAGAAGAATGATTTATGTATAGGAAGAGAAATGAGTCTGTATGATTCCCATTTGTAATAAACTTCTGAATGCAAGTGACTGTTCATGCAACAAATGTCTTTACTAGTGTACTATGTGAACTTCAATCTTCATAATAGTTAAAGAGAAAATAGATTTTTCATATTAACCAATAGGTTTTAGATCCCTTAGTGCTGCTTATTTTAGCTGGATGTATAGAGGTGGTTCCATGACCTTATGGAGAGTGCTTTGTATTGCTGTAGATGTGAGAGGTTTGAGAAACCTTGGACAGTCTCAGTTTGTGAGCCTTGTGTGAAGGTGATAATCTCAGCTACCAGGGGAGGGACAGAAGAAGGAATGGCTCATGCACTTGTATTCCTTCACCAGCTGATCCTTGAGCAGAATGAAGTTTTTAAAGAATTAACTTCCTGTTTTATTTCAGAACTATTACCCAAGCTACTTTGATACCAGGATTAGGGCTTCTTGTGACATTTTAAAGTTGGTCAATAACTGCATATACAAAAGAGTACACCCTTGACACCTACAGGATTATACAAGGAGCAGGGCAGAGGGGGGGAAGCAATGCAGTGTCCATCCCACAATCCCTACCACTGCCATCCTTGGTGACCTGCTCAGACCTCTGTGGTACATGCAGTGTGTTTGTGTGAACTGTTCCCATGTGTGGAGTCTGTGCCACTCTGGCCTTCTGCACAGCAAACCTAGAGCTCTTCAACCGTTTCTGGCTCGGGTATGAGTGCAAGCTTGAAGCTCTAAGCAAATCATGTGTACAGTACAGTATGTGGTTTGAACACAGAAATTTGCATCCCTGTCTACAAACCTGGTCTATAACCTCAAGTTCTGTTCAAAACCTCCTCAGAAATTTCATCGACAGAGCCTACTTGAGAGAGTAAATGGATCAGTAGATCTCTAAATTGCTCTAGCCTAGCCCACTGTGGCCTGCATCAGCATGTTTCAGATGTAGTTAGAGCAGGGACTTACTTGGTGCTCTGCTCCACTGGCAGATCTGGAAACTGAATTGAGCCAACTAGTTATTTTTCAACAGAAATGTGGTAGGCCAGTGGAGGCCAACATTTTTATTGGGTGTACCACAAATTAGTCCTGCACCCTTTCCAAGTGCCACTCCAATCCCCTTCCTTTACCCAGTCCCCTGCTCTGCTTTCTGCTTCTTGTCCTGGGCTCCCTGCCTGATTTTCTGCTCTTTTCCTTCCTGCCCCATCTCCAGCTGTGCTACCCGTCTCCTCCCTGATTTGTCACATGCCATGCATTGAGGCTGCCCATGCCACTTGTGGCACTTGTGTTGTAGATATTCCTCATAATAATCAGGGGCACTTAATGGAGAGCAGTAATTATGGCAGTCTTCTGAAATATTTTTACATGAGGAAATAACCAGGTCTGTCTCTAAAGCAAGAGAGACATCTCATAGGTTTACAGCTTGGTTTAGGTTGGTTGTTATCCTTCTAGTATTTTAGTAGCGCCACTTAGTAGTGGAACATGGATATCAAACCCCTTTTACTCATCATATGAAATTGTACTTAACAGGGAGAGAGAAACTCATTCACTGATAGTCAGCTTCAACTTGTTACTAACAATTGTATTAATATATAACATTCTGTTGTGCCCTACAGCACCTAATTAAGAGTATCAGACTATGGTTTAATTTTTTTTCAACTTTCACTTTAAAAAAGCCTTTTAAAAACAGTTTTTGCCTCTGGCTTCAGATGGTTCGAGGTTATGTGATAATGAGGAATACGTATTCTCCAATTTACAGGGTTTGGGGGGTCAGCCTTATTGACAGGTTTCCACAGATTCACCCTGCACCATCCCCAAGTGCCTCTCTGGCCCTTATCCTTGCTCGATCTGCTGTTGAGCTATCTGATTCCTGCTCTGTGCTCCCTGACCAAGCTGCTGCTCTAATTTCTGCTTCGTACCCTGTGCTCCCTGCCTGATCGAATTCCCTGCTGCCATCATGCTGCCTGTCCCCTCCCCAATCTGCTGTGCGCCATGCCACATACACAGGCTGCCCATGCCACTTGTGGCACCTATGCTGCAGGTTGGTCTCTGTTGATATATGGCAGAGTTGGTTAACCTTTGGCCCATTAGCCAAATGCACTTACAATGCCATGGTATCTGGCTCGTGGGAGTTTCCATGGGTTGGGAAACTTGGTGGTGGGGAAGCAGTGGCAATTAATATGGCCATGCTTTCCTGCTGCAAAATTCCCAAGCTCTGTGCAGGTGTGTCAGGGCCTGGCTATGCCCCCCCTGCCTCCTCCTTTGGGGCTGAGTTGGGCCTACATCAGGTTCCCATCCCCCTCCGCATGGTTGGATGGGCTCTGCTGTGACTGTCCTGGGTGCCAGATTGGGACCACCAACTGGATCCAGCCCATGGATAGCTGGGCACAGCCCATCCAGCCTGCCAGCCAAAAAGGTTGAGCACCACTGGTTTAGGGCATCACACTAGGAATAAGGACCTGAGGTTTACTATTGGCTTTGTGACTATGGGCGCCTATACACAAGTGTGGAGGCTGCTCTGACGCATTGGAATCCCAGTGCTTTGGAGCAGACTCGATCAAGTAATAACCCTAAGAAACAGCATTAGTATGTAGGAGGATTTAAAGCTTGAGTTAGAGTAGGGGTCAACCACATTTGGCCTGCTGGCTGGATGCAGCCTACAGAGCCAGAGGGCTTTGCCTATGCCCATGCCAGAGCTGGGGCTAGGCAACTGGAAGCTGTGTCTGCATCACCACCATTTCTCGCCACCCTCTGCTCTGCTCCTTGACTGCAGTGCAGGAACAGCATCCAGCTGGTGGGGAACTGACCTGGGGCTTCCCACTGTGCCTGCACTGCAGCTGGGGGGTAGAAAGAAGCAGCTTCAGCATCCAGCTGCCCAGCCCTAATTCAGTCCCTCCCCAGCTGGAAGTTGTGCCTGTATTGCAGCTGGGGAGTAGGGGATGGGGAGAAGTGAGAGTGGCACAGGCACAGCTCCCAACTGTCCCCTACTCTTGGCCCAGTTCAGTTTCCCACTGGCTGAAAGCTGTATTTGCACCCTGACCAATGAGCAATGTTGGGGCTAGGAGGAGTGGTAGTGCCTGGCCCTGGTGTGGGTGCTGGCAAATCCCCCTGCTGCTGAGGCATCACCAGAGCTGCTCAGCCTGCATCAGATTGGGGCTGGGTTGTTCCAGCCTGCGGCTTGAAAAGGTTCCTGGCCCCTATATCATTTAAAGCTCTGCAGACTGCTTTTAGAGCACACCCTTTGATCATACAGCCTGTGTTTGCATTATTATTCTAGTGGCATGTTCTTAATTAAAATATAGAGGTTGATAGCAAAGTTGATACCACTGTCAATGAGTTTTCCATTTTAGAGAATGAAGCCAGATTAGAAAAATAGGCCATGGAGTTTTTAAAAACAATTATTTTTATCCAAGGTCTAGAATGACCCTTTGCCATATGAATGATGATATCACACCATAATATGGGAGACTTTGGTAAGAGAATCTTTGTTGACTGGAAGTGGAACTTTCTACTTCCTAAAATCAATATTAGTTTAAAGGTAGGGATCCAGATTAGTTGCGAAAAGTTATTGCTGTGTTATTTAGAAAGGCAAAATAGTACATCTTAGAACAACACTGAAAAAGCTCATCCCTATAAGTTTTCTGACACAAAGGAGGAATTTTTTTGAGTGATCTAAACTCATTGTTTTGTGAAGTACTATTGTTTATGCTTGCAAAGCTCTTACATTTGGCTGGTTGCATAAATAGTTGTACAGCTGGTGCTCTGCAGCAAGACTTAATTGTTTCAGTGTGACCAAATTAAGTTTTATATGTGAATCCTAACTTTAACCCTGGTAATCAGAAAACACTCTGACATATCTTACTCACTATAATTCTTGTTTTGTTCTGGTGTTTTTATAGAGTTGTCTGTCCCCCCCTCCCCACATGAGTCATGGGCATAGTGTGATTTCTGAAGGGGAAAAGAAAACAACACTACCTCCCAGAAACAATTTATGTTAAATTCTTGCTTCCCCAAACTTATGGCAATGCATATTCCAATGGACTTTTATATAAATGGCTTAAACAAAAATGAGATCCAGATCGTAATAGCCTCAAAGAAGGAGTTTATCAACACATGCTGCAAGGAGTGGGTGGAAGAATTTGTTGGAGTGGAAGATTTGGTAATGTGTGCACCCTACCTAGAAATCAGATATGGTGATGCTTCTGTTTAAAGTGGTGACACAGAATTAGAGCCAGAAACTGATGAATGTGAAAACCCTGCTTTTGTGGTGTTTATTCTCCGAAAAAAAAAATTCCAGCTCTGCTTTAACTCTTTTGCTTAATTTCTTCTCCTTCCAGGAACATTAGGTTGTTGGAACCATGTTTTTTTTCCATACAGTCAACAACCGAAGGAAAAAAATTGTAAGGACCCAAACCTATCTTATGTTACAGTCTGGCCACATGGAGTTCCAAGGCTGCAACTAAGAGCAATGTTTAACCCACTCCATGCACAGTTATTGTTGTCCCTATTTTAAGAAAGTGTCTTTTGGCTTTGGTATCTGTAGAAGGCAAATTTACGTATGTAACTGGCTACCAATTATAATATTATTTGATACTTGCATGATTATGAGCCTGTTCCAATGAAACCAATGGGAATATTGCCATTGGCTAAGGCAGCACTGGGTCTTATATCTTCAACATTGCTTTATAGAATTTTAATTAATTCTGACAATACTTTTGTGATGTAAGTAGCATCCCCATTTTACAGATGACAAATGGATGCATGCAGACCAGATATGTGACACCAAGTAAGGCGATAGTTGAACCAGCCCTTGAATTCATGTGTTCCTAGCTCTCAGTTTTGTGCTCTGTAAACTCAGTCATGTTGAATACCTAAAATGCTTCCTTCTCCCCTCCTCCTTCATTCTGTGCTTTCCCCCTTTTCTTGCAGGGCTATCCTCCTGGTGACTTCCACACCCATGTAATGAGAGGTATAAAGAACTGATGGATTTTGAAAGATAAGAAACATATAGATACCAGTTGCTAAACGCTACACTTGCTTTTGCTTTTCTTTTTATTTCCCGTTTCTAAAAGTTGCAAGACTGATCTGGCCCTTAGTTTTTAAGATGATTATGAGACAAAAAAAAGGTCTATAACCTGATAGACAGTGGCTTCTTACAGAAGATCCTAAGACCTTTTTGTAGAAAAATGGTAATGGTAATTGCTAGTCCTGGTTATAACATATGAAAAATAAAAACAGTAAAGAAAGGAGAATGAATTCCTTGTGCACTGGACCCTTTTGAGCTCTACTCTTAGGAGCTCTACTTTTACCAGTTTTAAAAATGAATTTTGAAAAGACAAAAATATACTACGTGGTTCCACACTTAAGGAGTTAAAAGTCTGGAGCTGCGCTTGATGAGCCAGATGGTCTTTAACAGTAACATTGTTCATATTGTTTAGATTATCCTGTTGCAAGTACAGTGCCTCGTTTACCTTTTATGGAAGAAAGTGTGGAAAATTGACCACAGATGTAAGTAACCAAGAATGATGGCTGAGGCAATTCTTACCAGGCCTCCCTCTCTAACATGCCTGATCCTGCAGATAAAAATAGAGAAATGTGAGGCAGCATGAGAAATAGCTAGTGTTACCTATTTACGTGTTTAATTTGAGCCCTGTGAGCTACTAAAACCTTTATTTTCTTAAACCAGGGTTTCTTCATATTAAACTAGTTTCAGTTGTGCATCATGGGCAGCCTGAATGTATATTTTTATTCAGGTACTGAATAACATATCGTTATATATTTTCCCATCCTGTTCCAAAAGAAAAAAAAAGGAAAGGAGGACAAGCCAAATGCACTGACCTCAAGCACAATTTTATGATCCAAAATCTTCATGAGAAGATTGGTACCCATTTTGTGCTCTAATGAGAGAGAGCACACAATCTCTATTAATATTGATTTGATTGGTATCACAGCCAAGAGCTGTGCCAAATTAATTAGAACTAGTTTATTGTTGTCCCTCCATAATATTTTACTAAAGCTTGTGTTGAATCTTGAAAGTCAATTCCAGGTTGGAATAAAAGTTTTTTTCTTTAGACAGGTATCTCTGTTGTGCAGTGCGTGGACTTGGAAGACACAGCGCTTAAACAGAACAAAAGAAAATTGCTACAAATGAAAGCAATAAATCCCTGTTTTATAAAGTCCTTTTGTTTCCTATCACTTTTCTCTCCCTCCCTCATTTCCTGCCTCTTGTTAGGAACTGCTGTCAAACTGCATTTTCTTCTGGCAAGTGGTTCCCTTCGGAGCCCCATAGCTGACACCACAGCATTTGCATGCAGGTGCCACTGCAGTAGAAAGCAGACCCTCAGTCTGCATCTCCTCCTGCCTTAGGAGGAGACAGGGCCACATCCATCAACCTGTTCAACATAGGAATAGGCCCAGAGACTGAAAAACTCGATCACCAAGTTCAATAAACACATAGATATGTGAATGAGGAGAACAACAAGTTTCATTGCGGAGCAATAGGCTATCACTACGGTTTGTTTCATACACGGAATGTGTTGGCTTGTGTCTTCATAGCTGCCATTTTATTTTCAGCCATAGCTTTCTTTGATCATATTGACAGCATAATACTCTCTCTTATTACACCTAGGCTTAAACAGAAGGTCGAAGAAGTGTTTTCTAGTTCTGTCTGCTTTTGAGTCTTTCTCAGATAACTTGTTAGGTTTGGTTACATCCATATAAATTCAATGACTTCCAGATGCATGGAGTATCTGAGGGCAGAATTTGGCTTTCAATCACTAATGCTATAAAATGGACAAAAACATTTGATAATACTAATTGGTGCATTGGAAAAATCATATTTTACCCTGAAGGAATTTCAGGAAGTTGGCAATTAAACTGAAAGCTGTACAATATAAAGGTTTACTAACATAAAAAGAACAGAAGATAGCAATTTAGACTTTTTCGAAGAAAACAGATCTACTTTTAAGATAAAACATAGAATGATAAATATGAATGTATAATGGCACTAAGTAGTGAAATATACTATACTAATTTTTAACAGCTGGGTTAAAATTCCCAGAGGTCGTAAGAAAAAAATATTGTGATGGGCCTTGAATGCTTTCTGGCAGTAGTGTAACTTGGGATGGTTGAGCAGTGCAGACTCCTGTAGCAGTAATACCTGGGGCAAGCAGATGATGCTTCACTAGCATCAGCTGGAGACTTGGAATCTCTGGAGCACCTAAGACTCCCTCCTCTACCCATGCTCAGCACCCCCTCACCTCTGGCCCTCAGTGACACTGCCCCGCCATCCCTGCTCTTCAGCATGGTTTTGCCTAGAGCACAAACTGCTATTTATGCCCCTGCTTACTGAACTAAGCATGTGGTTGTGCAAAAGTAAGCACCTGTGGTTTTTTAGAACCCTGAAGTTTTCAGAACTCCTCCTAATTAGAGATCTGACAGTTAGGAAAACTCAGATCAACTAGTTCACCTGTACCACATCTTGCTTATACCATATCACCTGCACCACACTTTCCTTAAGTTGACCAGTTGAAATGGGCATGGGCAGTTGTCAGGTGTGGAACAAAGACAAGTTAACTGAGAGAGAGGTGAGAGGTACACATGTAGGCTTTATGTATTGAACCACCATGTTGAGTTCAAAGCAATGCTCCTGGCAGCAATAGTTTTATACTGTGGTACCCCTCAGACTACAGGATGCACAATGCTCCCTGGTCCACTCCTCCCTCCCCAGTCCACTCCTACCAGCACCTACCTCATCCCAGCACAGACTATTTGTCACCATTTTGAGAGTAACTTGCAGACAAACAGATTTCATGCTTTGGCTAGTAATTTTTCAGCAAAGCTGATATGTGCTCTTTTCTCTGCTTTTGTAAATTTTTTAAATTGTAGTCACAAAAACTGGGAATTAATCGAAAGTGGTAGGTGTTCTGGTACAGAGTTTTAAAGCATTGTTTTCCCAGGGTTAGCACAAAATTGTTATAGATCAAACTAGAAGCATGGGAGAAATTTTCTGTCACCTACCAATCCCTAAGTGTCTATAGATAGATGGCCTTTTGAATACATAAGAAGTATCATTCAAAATTAATAAACTAGAAAATTAAGAATAAAATCATCATTACCTGTAGGGGTGCACCGATAGAGATTTTGAGGGCTGATACCGATAGCTGATTTTTAAGGAGGCATGTTGGCCAATACCGATCCAATTTCCAATATAGTTGCGTCCAGCTGGTAAGTCTGTTGGGTGGAGGGGGAGAGAAGGGGCGTGGGGGGGGGCAGATCAATGCCCCCCATAGTGAGGAAGGAAGTGGGACAGGGGCTGCAGCTGGGGCAGGTGCTGCCCAGCCAGAGTGGGGTGTGGGGCAGAGCCACAGTTCATCCAGGGAATGTGGGGGAGAGCAGCTCTGATAACTACATGCACCCCAGGAGGAAAGGGGGGGGGGCATGTGCCTACAAGGCAGGGTGGACTGCAGCTGTGGACTGGGGCCAGGGCCACTCTGAGCTCTTCCCAGCAGAGGGGACTGGGCTATGCTGGGCTCAGGACAGGCGGCAGTGGCACTGGGAGGAGGGCTATGGTGAAATTTGGGGTGGCTACAGCCCTCCCTCCCCACCGTAGCCCTGCTTCCAGCACCACTGCTGCCCACCCTGAGTGCAGCGCAGCTCAGCCCCTGCCGGGAAGACCCTGTCATGATCCCCGGTCTCAGCCCACAGCTGCAGCCTGCCCTGCTCCACCCTGCGCAGATCTGGGGGCATGCCTCCCAGGGTGCACACAGTGGCAGAAGCTACCCCTCCTCCCCATGCCCCCTGGACAAGCCTAGGCTCCATCTCGCATTCCCCCCACCCCAGCTGGGCAGTGCCTACCTCAGCCCTACTCCCCCGCTCACTACGGGGGGGGGGGGGGGGGGGGGGGGGGGGGTGGTGC